GTACCCCTGTTTTCGGAAACTCCCAACATGTTTCGGCGCTCACACTCGGACACTCCAGGCGAGGCACGTTGTCCAAGGCCTGATCATGGTTTACGGCATCCAACTTCCCGTCTCAAGGTCAGAGAACCGTTCCAGTCCTCTCAAGTCCGCAAACCTTTCCTGAATGACGAAAATGACTGGAAAATAAGCCCTAGACGACCTCATGGCCCATATCCCATATGGGATCAAGAATATGGAAGGTAGCGCCGCATACCGTTTCAGGGTCATGTGTTCCCTGTGTAATTTTTCTGACTTGGTCGAAAGGACGCGATCGATTCTTCCAAAGATAAGCAAACTCACAGAAACTGCACCGAGTCCTCTTGTATCATCTTCAAGGCAGTCGCGAGATCCTTCGGCGGAGATCGGTGAGTTGGGCCCATTAGCTCCCTAGGTCGCCACAGCTTCAACATTTGTGGCTACCCAAACATGTTGGACACAGAAGTTAAAAGTCTCCAGCAGACGATATGCTGGCCAGCCACAAGTGCAACTGGAATGAGTTGTACAAAACAATGCCTCTCTTCATCTTTTTGCAAGTCTATAGGAGGCACCCTGAACCCTCGGTAAAAACCTGCATATGGGTCGTGGTCTAAATTAGGGTCTTTTTGGGGTCCTTTTATAAGGGTGCCGTACTGTATTGGGGACCTACAAAGGGACTCTAATTTAGAGAACTACCCATATGGCCAAAACCTAAACTCTCAGGCCTCCACTGGACGCAATGACCCCGCACTTCTCATCATCAAATGTTGATCTATGCCCGAGTCCCGAAATCTTCAGGGTTTCGGCGACACTCCGAAACCCTCAATGCGCTGGACTCTTGCTCAATCCTTTGCTTAAGCCAAAGTCCCCCACCCCGGCGTCCTGGAAGCTCGCCGCTTCCTTTGCCCTCTCCCGCCACTGTACGATCCTCTGGCAGTCCTGTTATCGCTGAGTTGGGGCGTGGGAAGCTTGTCCCAATGGACATTTTCAGTAGGACCCAAGATGCTTAACAGGATGTCTTCGGGTGTACACGTGGCTCAAAACCCCTTTTTGAAGGCTAGGTCCCCCCACAACCCTTAACCTGAAACCCTAAACCTACACCTTAATCCTTATGCACCCTACAGCCTACAGTGGCCCAAAAGCCAAAGCCTTAAACCGCTCACCCAAGCTGTCGGACCTTGGATTGGGAGGGTATCTAGGTGAGCTTCGGTATTGTAGGGGCCTTAATTGAACCAAGGTTTTTCTGCTACTATACCTTAGGGACTATGGTAGCCTTTAATGTTCCAACCTTTGATATAGGCGCCTTCATACTTGGATTAGGGTGTTTGGGGTATATTGTGCTATACCTATAGTCTCCATTGTAGTTCCTTTTTTTGGTTTAACCAAATATATATTAACGAGTTTATAAGGTATCCCCAAAAAGGAACTACAATGGAGACTACAGGTACTGTTGCACTTCTTGAGGCTTCTATATGAGCGTTACATCGCAGGTGATTGGAGGCTTCAGGGCTTCCGGTCCGCCTGTGAGAGTTTCAAGAAAAGCCGGCGCCTAATACAAACCCTAGTTCTGGGGTTTACAGTAGATGGCAGGGTCCTTATGAAATTGACGCCGGCCCTACAGTAAGCCCGCCCCTACTTGGAGGTCCATGGGTAGTTATAAATGGGGTATAAGTAGGGTAACTATAACTATAATTATAACCCAGGTTAGGGGACTTAAAACATCTTAAAACCATACTTATAACTAGCCATGAACCTCCAAGTAATTTTAAGAAATGTTCAAGAAGCTGTCCTTCTCCAGGTCGACGCCCATGTTCGCCATGGACCGCCTGAAGCCCTCCTCGCCGTCTGGCGCCGTGCCCCCAACGAGATGCCTCTGGGTTCAGCTGCGGGGTTAAGATCTTATAAAGCCAATCCCTACAGGGCTTACGGCTTAGCAGTTTAGGGTCTAACCCAGGCTCTGTACAAGAGGTACTTAGGATTTAGGGGCAGGGTTCGATATCGATTCGACCCCCATACTGGCACAATGCAGGCAAGGCTTACCCCATGACTGATCCTTTGAAGTACTGCGCCTGCCGTTGGGACCAAGTTTGGCTTGAGGTGTTGGAGTTTGCAAACCCAAGCCTTACAGGGCCCAGGGTTTAGGTTTAGCCCAGAGTACAGGAGGACAAGGCCACTAAAACGCTCAGTTCGGGGCTTAAGAGTGGTGTAGAGCGCAATTCGGTTCAGAGTTGTGTGGGCTTCACTTCTGCAGGGCCCCTGGGTCGCATTCAACCCTAAACCGTAAGGCCCGAAACCGCTGCACAACTTTGGGTTTAGTTTAGGGAACTCGGCTCGACCAGTCGAGAACTTAACCGAAACGGCTTACAACTTGATCTTATAATCGATTCCTACTTCGACGATGTATTTCGCGATCGGTCGTGCTATCATGCCATTTTGGGGAATTTCACCTGACTATAGAACCGTTGTCCAAGCTTCCTCGCTGAGAAGTCTTCCTTCTTGACCGTCAAGCTTTCCAGCTGCCGTGTCACGTACACGAACGTCTCTGACCAATAAGCCTGAGCAGATCCTAGATAAAGCTGCCTAGGGCTTGGTCGAGCTACCTAATTAGGGGTTGGTCGAGTTTGGGGTTATGGTGGCTTATGTGACTCAGGCTCCGCTTTGAGAGAAATAGCTTCGGCCTCAAGCCTAAACCGAAGCCCGTGAATGGACTTTTGTGTAGGTAAGAGTTTCGCTAAAGTGTGACTTCAAAGTTCGATCGGCTAAACTCCAAAAATCCTACAGACCTCCGTGCTTTAACAAAACATCTCGAAGCGTTGACAGCCCAGTTTGTGCTGAGTTACATTAAGGGGTGTAGGGTTAAGGGTGTTTTATCACCTCCTGTAGTACCCGTTTTTGGGACGACCAACAAAAGGAACTCCTTTGGAGCCTAGTGTACCCGGGCACGGTCCAATCCGAAATACTCATACGGCTGATGGACAAAAACCTGCATGACCTTATATACCTAAACTATGGGATTTATGGTACTATACTATATTTGGGTCATGCAGAATTTTGTCCATCAACAGCAGCACAACCGAAACCACTAAAACCCCGAAACCCTAAACCCAACCATCCGAACCACTAGACCCCTAAACTTCAAACCACATAAGATTCCGAAGGTAGTAGCAAAACCATACTCCTTCCTGTCACCTTCGCCCCCGAAAGTTCTGAGGTTTTGAGGTCTAGGATTTTAAAGCCAGTGGCACGCGCTTGCCCAAGCAAACGCCCTGAAACCCAAAAGACAGTCGCAATGAAATCCTAAGGTTTTTTGAACCAACACCCGGGCTCTGTAGCTACAGTATGCCTGCAAAACCAATAACCCTAAGCCCTAAGTATCTTATAAGAGCGGGAACCGTAGGGCGAGGAACTTTATTTTATGAGGGTTTAGGCTTTAGGAAGCACGGCACCCTCTGCGGATCTCAACCTTCACCTGTGCAGGGTGGAGGAAAGTCGAGATCCTACCTTACAATGGCTGAGAATAGACCTTCGAAAGGAAGAGTGGCCGTAAAGCTCTACCGAATCTGAAACCCCAGAAGCACCGACACCCCAAGGAAACTTTAGAAAAGTCCACTGTGCCCAGCAGCATTTTTGAGCAGCAGAGGGAAGGGAGCCCCCTGCCAAGGGACGACTTTCGTCGTATCTTCCAAGCTCTGCAGGTAGGTATGTAGCCTGGTGGCTGCCGCTACTAGGGGCTTAACATTGAGGCCCCTGGAACCAAAATGATTGATTCTCAGGAAGAGCGTGCGTTGAGGGTGTAGGGTTTAAGGGCTAAGAGTTTCGGGGCTTAGGGTTTAGGGTGCTAGGGCCTACATAGGCCTTCGGGGCAATAACCTCTTCAGGCACGCTTTATCATACAAAACAAAGCAGCACAAAGGGAATTACAATGCAGATTAGTGTACCGAGTCGCCCCTCGACCCGCATGTTCCGGAAACAGGCAGTGAGGATCAATGTGAGTAGCCACTCCTGGGACTTCGTTGGGCTTTAGGGTTCCGTGGTCTGTAGAGTGGGCTTCTGGATTATGGGTACTTCGTCTTTCTATCGATCTGTCGCTCCATCTGTTTATTGACCTATCTTTGGATATAACTATCTATGTACCTATCTATCTACCTATCGATCTAACTATGTATGTATCTATCTATCCGTTTATCTATCTACTGTAAGCCGACGATATGAGCAACTCTACGCCTGAAGCCTCTTGAGAAACTGACAGCAGGTGTCCGGGTTGAAAAGCAGTTGTCCGGCCCTGAAACTTCCAGATAGTACTATGGATGTTTCGGGTTTAGGATTTAGTTCAAGGTTTGGGTTTTTTGTTTTGGTCAGTATTGGAGCTACATTAGGATACGTAACGCATCCTCTGGCATGGCAACTCCCAAGAGAACAAAGAACCTCAGAAGCAAACCACAGGCCAAACTCCCCTTCGAACAGTTCCACTCCTACCTAATGTAGGAACCTGATCAAGAAACCCTGGGCCTTTTATTAGGGTTCTGTTTATGAATCCTATTATTTTGGCCCGGGGTTATAGGGCCAGGGTCTCTTAATCAGGTTCCTACATTACCTGCCAACAAGAAACGGAATTTGCAGATAGGCACGCTGACGCAGATGGCCTGGGAAAGCTTAGCACCACCCTGCCTGCTCTCAAACCCTTTTTTCACAAGGGACTCGGCTGCTGCCCTTACTGCTCTCAAATCCTGAACCCGAAATCCTAAATGACCTAGGCCATCACAAGCAGCAAAGGCTCCAGCATCACGGCGAGGCCCTGCGTGAGTAGGCAGCCAGGGTTTTCGTAACAAGCCTGGCACGGATCTACAAAGTTACAAAGCTGTACCTATTCGGCAGGTCGGTTGAGGGCAAAAGCTGAAATGATTCTTGAACGTCTGGGACCCCACTCTTTGAGGGTCCCGCAGTGTTGCAGTATGCGGGGAGACAACCTCTTGTGCCGCTCATGGCCCCAATGGAAGTAACGTTGGCACCGAGGCCCGCACGAACAGTGAGCTAACCAACGGCTAAGAGTCGCCTCTGACCTGAACTATTCGAATAGGTTTCGGGGGATCGTGTTGTACAAATACAGAATATGCACTATAAGTAGAAAATCTACCACTGATAAGTCCAACCCCTATGCTAGACCTTAGCCGACACCGTTCTGTTGGGGACTAGGTCTTGCTAGAAAAATAACCCATGCACCTCGAAGTGGTGGATGGAGAAAATGCCGGCCAGGAGATACCTGAGAGCTGTTCCAAACTTCAGTGCTGCTTTAGACGATTCGGATTCGGGGCTCCTTGCCACGGGACATGATTCCCTTGACGCTTCCCCTGATCCCGGCGACCTGGGCCCTCTGTTCCCTATAAAACAAACATTCTACAACCCCGGAGCTCTGTCAGAGGTGCTCATGTAGGGGCCTTCATAATTAGAATAGGATTTTGGGGCCCATTATACTATGATTATAATAAGGAACCTCCCAAAATAGTTTTGGTAATTATTTAGGCCCCTACATTAAGTCCTATTCACACCCTACTGTAACCGGGAGCTCTGAGTCTGTTAGAGGTGCTAAACCCCATTCACGCCCTAAGCTTTCAAATGTCAACAAGCCTTGCACCTGAAACAGCACTGCAACCGCTACGAACCCCACACGAAATCCCTAACTATACTCAAAACCGCTAACAAATCTCTAAAACCTATACCTCTACACCGGTAAATCTGAAAGCCCAAAAAGACCCTAGAAGCCCAGAGAAAGACCCACTTACACATCTCTCAAACCTATACCCCGACACTGGTAAGCCTGAAGGTCCAAAAGACCCTACTTGGAGGTTCATGGGTAGTTATAAATGGGTCAATATAAGTAGGGTAATCTATAATTATAACTCATACTAGGGGAAGTCATAAATGGGGTTATAAGTAGGGTAACAATAGTTATAACTCATATATTAGGGGCCTTATGACCATACGTACAACTACCCGTAACTACCCGTGAACCTCCGAGTAGAGTGAGACCCACGCTGGCCGAACCGAACCCAATATTCTTTTGGGGGGCTCCTTATCATAATTATATAAACCCAAAATAGAGGGGCCTTATAATCATTACCTATATTATTTTGAGGGGGGTTCCCTTATTATAGTATAATGGGCACCAACACCCTATTCTAATTCTTAAGGCCCCTATCACAGTGTGGGGTTTGGGGTTTGCGGTTTAGGGTGTAAGGGTGGAGAATATACCTTCAACCGTCTCGGAAGGTGTTCCTTGGATTTGATTTGGCTTTGGCTTGTAGGGGAAGCGTATAGGATCCTTAGTCAAGGGAGAGATAGAGAACCCGTCATGTGATTGTGGGCACACTCCCTAATCAGGCGGTGTTGGGCTCTTGGGGAACCGGTTTGGGTCAAGACAATTTCAAAACCGAAGAATACTGGCATCCTGGCACACCGTGTGGAGATCTGAACAGGCGCGGAACAAAAGCCGAACATGCGTTCGCTTTGAAGCTTTTTAGACACCAGACAGAAATGCACATGAGCCGACTCCATCCTCATGCCCCAAAAACCCCCTTGTATCATAGTATTACCACCTGTCCGGACCCCCAACTATACACCACATACCTCTTCCCATGCAGCTCTGTCGATTTCTAGATAATGTGCATAGGGACCTCTACTAATTGGGATGTTTGGGTTCAGGGTGTAGGACTGGGTTTGGGTATTTGGGCTATGGAACAGTGAAAAGGAATTCGCACTATGACGGGGTCGACTACTAATTCTTACGCTCTCGAATAGCCGAGTTGCGACACGTCCAAGGAATTCCTGGGGCTTTCTTGGCTTCTTACTTGTCCAACTTCCTGGGGGAACGAAAGGTAAGGTTACCCTTGGGATTCTGTGAGGGTTATGGTAATATAGGCCTTACAAGTAATAGTTAGAATATGGTTAAGAAGCATTCCCTAAGGAATAGTAGTGGGCTAGTGGGAACTATTCTCTAAGGTAGAACCCATGGGCCCCTAGTATGGGCCCTTAACCCTGGGACCCTAATATACCTACTATATACCCTATATATACCCTTCTGGGACCCTAGAATCCCCTAAGGGCCCATGTTACGGGCCCATGGGTTCAACCGTAGATATTCAGGCATCCGTATTTCCCACGGCCAAAAACGGTTTGAGTCTTCAGTTTCGGACTTGAGGCTTACAGTTTTGGTTGCGGAGTACGATGATGTGCACAACGTGGACGCGTATTTGAGGTTCGGGGTCTATCTGACCCCAGGTGCTAACACCTGGACCCCCTGAACTAAACCCTAGCCTAACCCCCAAAAGCCCTAAACCTTGAACAACAGCGCTTAACCCTGATGCCTGACGCTCCAAAAAACCCTAAACGTTGAAACCCCCAAAACCTAAACCCTAAACATCCCTAAACCCCCACAGTAGCCCAAGCCCCAAGCTCTCCCCTCTCTCTCCCGGCAAGTCCCGGCAACCACCGAGAGCCTGGCATGGCTAAGCCAGCTACGAGGTTAGGCCCAGCAAGCCGCACACGGTTTAGGGTTTAGGGCTCTAAGCTGCGAACTGAAGTTGAAGTTGCTAGGGCCCGGTTAGAGTTCAGGGGCTAGGGTGTGCCGAAACTGATCTCTAGTTGAAGTGGTTGGTTAGGGTCTACAGACCCACTCATGGACCAGCTGGAGGCGAGGCATTTAGAGTGCAGAGTTTACCCCCTACATTTCAAACTGTGAGACAAAACGTCCGAGGAGCTTGAAATTGCCCAGAGCAGAGGCATGCCAGTGTCTCTTGCCCACCGGCTTCACGATGTCTTCGAAGCGGTGGTAGACCATCCTATGAAGAACCCTACAAGCCCAAATTGAGGCTTGGGATGTGAAGCGTTCGGCCCTCTGCATCCGGTATACGTGAGACCCTGAAACCCTAGACCTTATCCACCTGGAGACTCGGGATGACCAAAACACCCTGTACACGTTGTACTCTACTGGATACCCTTGCTTAATTTTAAAGTTTTGCTGATGTCCCTTATGGATTATAATCGCCAAAGGCCAAAAATTGTTTCAACGTGCCCCTAGGCAACTAGGTCCTATAAAGCTTATCAGGTTTGCTATAGAAACCACCCAGTCCCGAGCCCGATTGAACACTTGGGACGATGGGCGCGGCGGAGATGAGAGATTGTTTAGTGCCGTCCAGAACCCAAGGGCCCTACCTAGGGCTCCAAGCTTGCAAATAGTAAATACCTGCCTGGGACCTGAAACTCTACAAATCATAATTACCCCGCTTTGGGCCATCTGGAGTGCCAGGGAAGGCTGTTGATTCTATAGGGTTTTCAAGCTTTCAGAGCTTTCAGCACTCACTCTCGGACATGCCTAGGCGAGGAGGGTTCTGGGGGTTGCAGGGTGCGCCGGGCTTCGGCTGATTCTAAGGGTTCAGGGCATCAGAAAGCGTCATCATGTCAGCAGCTGCTTCGGGTTGTAAGCTGGCTCCACCGAGCCTTGACAGCCGTAGGCCCCATAAGCCCAAACCGAAACACTCCTCACCTTGAGCCCGAACCCCGACCCTCTCAAGCACAAACACAACTATGTAGTGCTATGGGCGGCCTAGTAAAGCGGTAAAGGCGTTGAAATAAAGAGCCCAAGAAAACAGATTCTTCTATGGACTATAGGGGTTGGAAAAACTGGTAAGAATGTTCCCGACAGCCCGTGATCTCATTTGTAGCATAGCACATTTTACCACCAAATAAAACTTGCAAAGAACCCTTAGCGGAACCCTATTCGAATAATTCGGCCCTATAGTAAGCTGAGGCGCTGCACCGTCAGAAGCCTTTGGATCGAGGGCAGGTGCCACAGGTGATCGAAACCCGGCCAGAAGCCTTGCCGTCTCTATGTGTATGTGTGCGTGTGCGCGTGGTTATTACATGTGCACGCACACCCACACACATGCATCATACATATCATGTGCGTGTGTGTGTAGATACATGTATGTATATGTATGTGTATGTGTATGTATATATATATATATGCACATAGACACAGATATATACAAGTAGATTGGTACGTGTATGTGTCGTTTGTCTTGTTCCCGGTCGCGATTCTTGTGAGATTGAGGGTTTTGGACTCTCACCCGAGCGGCTCCGGGCGTGACGGTTCAGGTTAGACCCGGGATTTGGCTTGGGACCCTAAGCCCTAAGCCCCTGAACCCTAAGTAAACCCTAAACCCGTCACCCTAAAACCCTGCACCCAGTTTGGCGCTTTGGTGTTTGGCTTTGGGGGTTAGGGTTAGACTCTGGCAACTCGGAGGCATGGGTTCAGGACGGCAGGGTTTAGGAGTTTAGGACTTTGGGGTTTCGGCTTTTAGTGCTTTAGGGCTTTATAGGGTTTAATTATTGTGTGGGTGTGTTGTCCTCCTGCATTGCTTGACTGGGTCCGCTGGGCAGGCTGTCATCGGCAATACGTGCAGATTCCTCAAGAACGAACTGTCCTCGTGGGGTTTGCTGGATTTTAGCGCAAGGCAGAGGGTTTGCGACTGAATGAACTACAAGACCAAGCTGGTTCGAGCAGACTTAGACTCCACATCCTATATGATAATCCTATAAACTCTGAGTCCCCAACGCGATTTCCACAACCCTTGAATTCTAAACCGTATCATGGTAGCCAGCCCTCTACTCCCTCAGCCCCACGCCCTAAAGCTCAAAGTGCCTCCTGATCCCTACAGTAGGGGCCTTAATAATTAGAATAGGGTTTTGGGGCCCATTGTACTATATATACTATATATCGAGTAAGGAACCACCAAAGTAGTATAGGTAATTATTTAGGCCCCTATATTACATTAAGAACTCAAGCCAGCTAAGTGGCCCCCGGCAGAGGGACTCAGCAGTACGTGGTCGCAGTCGCAGGGAAGATCCTTGAGTGGCAGAGTTTTGTATAGGCTTGCGGGCTTAGGGCGTTTAGGGCCAGGGTTTAGGTTTTAGGGGTTTGGGGTATGGGGTTTAGGTTTTTGGGGTTTAGAGTTGTGGGTTTCGGTTTTTGGCGTTTAAGGTTGTGGGTTTCGGGATTTGGGGTATACTCCAGTAATATGCACATAGGGGCCAAAAGAGGATACGACCACCTGCGCTACCCTAAAAAACAGGAAGGCAACCATGGTGCTGACTTCTCGCCGAGCATCTTGGTAGAAGCCGCAGTTCGGCACGAATGTTGTGACATCCTCAGATTTAACGACCCAGAGAGCCCAATACCCCTTAATTAAGGAATATGGCTTAAATTATATGGGGCTTCATAGTATGATTTAGGCTATGTTCCTTAATTACGGGGTATTGGGCTCTCTGGGGACTGAGGACTTAGGCTTTGGCTTCAGGTTCCGGGGTTCAGCTTCGACCCCTAAACCCTATAAACCCTAAACCCCTCTCAAAGTCTGCTGGGCCTCTGAGAACGCTCTTGGACCCTAAACCCTAAAGTTGTAGTCCTGACATGCTGGGGCCAGCGAGCCTTCCTTCCGCCCGGACAAGCCTCGCCTGAGACGCTCGAGTCCACAACCAGAAATAGGCATGTCTCTGTGGTTTAGGGTTGAGGGTACTGTAGTGCATCCCGATGCAGGAAACTGATTGAGAAAGCCCCGAGGACATACAATGCAAAACCGCATGCTGAATAACCTGTGCTTGGTGAGTTTGTGTATGCCCAAAACCCAAAACCCTCAACCCCAAACTCAAGCAATTACAGTTATAATATAGCCGGTACATGCCAAACCCCTTTTTTTTGAACGAGGTCTCTCTGAAGTGCCTCTAACAGTATGATTTCATCGATCTCTCTAGCACATGCTAAACCCTAAACCCTAAACCCCAACCCTAAACCTTTAATCCTAAACCCTAAACCTTGATATGGTATGGCCGTTCGGACCTCTGCTTGCACTGAGGCGAGGTCCATGGCTTCGGAGCTCCGGTCCATCTCCTAGGGTTTACGGTCGAGAAGGGCTTAATGGGCTTAGGATTATAAGGTTTTAGGGTTTAGGGTTTAAGGTTTACGATTTAAGGTTTTGGGTTTGGCGTTTTGGGGTTTAAGGTTCAGGGTTTAGGGTTCTACACGCCTAAGAGGCTGAAGCCGGTGGTTGTGCTAAACTCAGCTACAAGAGCACCAACCCTTTTGAAAAACGGATGCCTTAGTAGCTTTTCGTACCGAAGCTGCTTACTACAGACGAGAATAACAAGGCCAAAACATGCGGCAGTTGGGTATTAGAGGACTGAGTCTCATACACACGTGCCGCCCCGGCCAGCAAGGTGACCTTGCGCTCGGAGCCCTCGATATCGAGCGTGGTGGCCATCTGAGCCACGGCACCTTAGTGTCCAGCTGTTTAAAGGAACTCGGTGAGCCTTTGACTCTATGCAAGCATTATAACATGAGGCTTGCAATTATGACCCCCAGAAGGGTAACGCCTCCATACTCTATTACGAAGGTAAGGCACATCTCCCAGCGAGGCAGACGAAGAAGCCAAACATAAGGCACCAGCAACCTCGGGCAAGGGAGAGAGATCGGACAAACATGCACATAGAGTAAAACTCTCCTTTTTTTACACAGGCTTGATTGGA